TTCCTTTTGAGTTCATGCAGGCAGGAAGTCTGTCTCCACTCCTGCAAGCCAGACTTATTTAACTATCAAAAAACAACCAATAAATACTAATTTGTAGTGACTATGCACAGAATGCTTAGACAGATGGATACCATTCAGCTGTTTGAAGAGGGAATAAATCAGAGCATTGGGACAGATAGCGAGATATTAAATATCTGTTGAGACATTTTGCATGATTGCCAAATATGTGCTATTTGTTTGAAAAGCGGCGAGGGATGAGTATTCTGTCTTTCATGCTTTTTTAACAACAAAAACATCAACAAAACATCTCTGCGAGACAGAACAACAAAGACAAAGAAGTGAGGAAAAGGCCAAAATGTACACTGGTGTAATACAACAGTGATCAAAGAAATACAGACAAGACACACATCAGAAACACCAGCAGGGACAGATGGAGCCCAGCGAGGAGGATAGAGGGTTACACTGCTGCAACAGAAGGCTGCAGACAGGTATGGGGGAAGAATAATAAAGAAGGTAGGAAAAATCCATTGTTGATTTAAGTGATCAACCACAAACACTGCATAAGCACTTTGCACAGACATGAACATTGCGTCAGTCTGGTCTGATCTATTAACGGGAGAGAACAATGAGAGCCAGATTTGTCCCTGAATGACACTATTAAGGTGTTGGTTTACCACCAGAGCTGCCTCCCCTTGGATCTGAGCCCAGCTACAAGGTGACTCCGTCTCTGTTCAGTGATTAGTCAGGTCCTGCCACATGATGCTCTGTACTGCAGCTCCACAATGAAGCACATGTTAAAGGCAAACACTCTGTTCTCCGTGCACTTCAATTTATTATAAGTTGAGGCTAAACGTTTTGAGAGAGCTCAAGGATTTTTGTATTGATAAACAGGGCAATTGCTACAATTGTTCTTTTAGATCTTAAACGTTAAGACAGTGGGGCGTTAAAAGACATGGAGGAATGAGGGTTGTGTGCTAGACTATTTGTTTGCTGGGAGCAGTTTCCAGACAGACAACGTAGATTCTAGCAAGAAATGGCAAGGCACACTACCTCTCTACATTTTGGTTTTTCATCTCACAGACGTATGATGAAATGTGATTTAATTTCAATCACTAAGCAGTCCACACAGGCAATGTGACAGCCCACAATTCACTCGATGAGCTGCGATTTAAAGAATCCTGTTAGGCCAAGTGAATTTGCAACAGTCTTACATGGCTAACTACAGTGAATGTGTGCAGTGTTCGCACAGTAGTGTGACTGAACGCCTCTAGAGTAAACACTGACACGGAACTGAAGCTGCTTTCACCGTGTAGCCTGTACCAACAATGTGAGAACATCATGCTTTGTGGATTGCAAAAGCTGTTGTCAGTGAGCGTGATTCAGTCAGCAGTAACCTTTGAAGCATTTCAACATATTTTTTTAGGATACAGGGCTGGATGGCTACTTTCTTCCTAACAACTCTCCATAACTGTGGCTGACACTGCATCAGTAGATTACAAAATGATTCCGCCTAACAACCTGAAAATAGAAAGTGATTTTTGCACCATAAAACTTGACAACATGATGTATACAGCCAGTTATAAATACAGCAGAGCTTTGACTCTTGGGGAAAATAAATAGTGACAAATCTGTTGATCTGGTCTGTACTCCCCCTCCTCTATGCCTTTTAACTTCATCTCCAATCAAAGAAAACCAGATTGCAATCTGCTACACAATATGTTGAGCTCCACTTTATTAGGCCGACAGATAAACCTCATGGCTGGAACACAGGCCTGTGAGAAATGAAGGCTCCCTCAGCATAACAAGATCCTACCCTCCTTATGCGCTCCTTCTCCTCTCAATTTCTAGTGTCTGAGTAGAGCTGGTCATTTCTACGCTTTCCTCTTAAACACAAAGGCCTGCACAGATGCTGTAAGAAAAAGTAATTCTTTTTTTAGAGCTTGACGCAAGCAGGCAATTAAAGATGTATTGTCAAAGTGCATGCAGTTCCAGGCTAATACTGTGGAGAAAATGTACCCCTGCTTATTATTTCGTGCTATCAATTAGGCAGTTGTCTTACTTGACCCACCCAAACGTCATATATCACTCTACAGGGCACATTTCTGCAAACATGTATTAAATGCATTTATTCTACATCACATGCAAATCAGAGGCAGTAATCAACTTGTAATTGCCATCGGAAATGTCATGTCAGGAGAACACCTACACACAATCTCAGATATAAATATAACATTCGGGAAACTGGAAGAAAAACCATATTCGGGGAGAGAAAAAGAAAAAGAAAATTCTCAAGAGGAAGAAACTAAACAAATGAACTCTCTTCTGAAGCCGAGGCAGCGGTCTTACAAAAAGCTGACGCACTGAAGAAGGTGACCACACAGAGAGCCATGTGAGGTTTCTAAAGAAAGTGATTTGATTGTGAAACGCGTACGCTGCCAGCTCCAGCGGAACCAAGGCCACAGAAGGAGCAACAACAACCCGACGCTGTTCCAAACCTCGGGCTGCATCACCGGAGTTTGTCTCTGCCTCGGCTCCAGAGGGAACGCTGAGTTGCTCTCCGTGGGAACGAAGGTTTTCACCAGCTGCAGGATTGTACAAGCACGCATGGTCAGAAAGTGTGTCATTTCTGTCTATAGGTCTACATTATATGGGACTATTAGATTGAATTGACTATACATGCATGTACAACTGATTTATATCAGCAACTGAAATTACATTTTAGCATCAGTTTGCACGTAGGCTACTGCTTTAAAGCAGATGTGTGTCTCTGTAGTTGGCGTAAAGAAGTGGAATTATTTACCGAATGATTTAAAGGGCTGTGAGAAATGTTTTATCTTTAAGACAATGTATAAAGAAAGCTTAGTATGAAGTTGACTTTTGATTGTGTGCTGGTTTTATGTTTCAGTATTTTTAAGCAACTGTGACTGAAAGAATATTGCTTTTATTTTATTTTGTGATGGTTATTTCATTTTTTTGTTATTTTTTTGTAAGAAGGGGCAGGTCAAATAAGATGTTCTTCTCCCTGCTCCTTTCCACCATGCGCTATAAAAATACAACCAGTATAAGGGTAGCCTACATGTTTTGTAAAGTGTCCATGTTTTTTTTTTTAAAACAACTGCCATGTGTGGAATAAACAAAATTAAAAAATGAATGTAAAACAATATTAAAGAGGCATATGTTCAGCACAGCGCCTTTTTAATGTCTTGTTTAATTAATAAATGCCAGTGATAAAAGTTTGCATGATGTTCACAAGCAGGTGTTACTTTTATTTAGGAAATGTAACAATATACAGATGTACAGACCATAATAAACAGGGTTTTTGTTTTATGTGTATACATGATAATGTAGATGTTTATGAGCAAATCCAGTCATTATATAGCAGTTTGTGAACTGAGTAACAGAAAAACGTATACAAGGGCACTGCGTTTATATGGTATCTTAACGCTGTTCAAACAAGTCAATACATTTTAGAAGAGCCAGAGGGTCATACAAGTCAGAAGTCAGTGATAGTGACCACTGAAACAAAAACAAAGAGACATGTCCACGCACTTACCGTGATCTCCCAGCAGCACATCGCCCTACTACAGCAGTGATGATGAAATTATGAAATGAATATCGCCCTCACACAAAGCTAGGCTGAGTAAGAAACAGTTAAGGTGAAGAAAATATTGTGATGACTTGAACATCATTACAGGAGAGTTTTGACACAGATGCTTTGACCCCTTTGCACTATGGATGTTTTCATGTCATCTCCAATAAAGCGTCTGTTTTTCATCCCCTTTCAACTGCTGCTTACTAATTCCAGATATATCTTCATAACAAGTGAAAGCATATACAACTGAACTGAAATCTGGATAAAAAAGTCATTTTTCTTTTTAATGAAGTCGTATACTTGATCAATGCTTACACTGGCTCCCTATAGAACACAGGATAGAATTTAAAATTCTTCTTCTGGCCTACAAAGCCCTTAATTGGCAGGCGCCATCTTACCTTAAAGAACTCATTATACCCTACTGTCCTACTAGGGCATTGCGTTCCAAGAATGCAGGGTTGTTGGTTGTTCCTAGAGTCTCTAAAAGTACAATGGGAGCCAGAGCCTTTTCTTATCAAGCTCCACTTTTGTGGAATCAGCTTCCAGTTTGTGTTCGGACGGCAGACACCCTATCCGTTTTTAAGAGTGCGCTTAAGACCTTCCTTTTTGATAAAGCTTATAGTTAGGGCTGATTAGATTCAGCCCCTAGTTTTGCTGATATAGGCTTAGTTTGTCGGGGGACATCTTACTTCTTCCTTCTCTCTGTCTATACCTGTGTACTCTCATGTTCCGATTAACCCAGCTTCCCCAAATTTCTTTCTTTTTGGTGTCTATATACGCCGGGATCCGGAGTCATGGATGATCCTGCGGTCCTGTGTCATGGATTGTGAGTCCTGGATCTTGAGTCGTGGCTGTGGTCCTGGATCATAAGTCCTGGATGGATATACTCGTGGATTCATCTTCCTATTATACACACATGCATTTCCAGACATTTGGACTACCTATGTTGCAAATGTATTATCTTTTCAATTTAAACACGGCATCTATTGCACGTCTGTCCGTCCTGGGAGAGGGATCCCTCCTCTGTTGCTCTCCCTGAGGTTTCTCCCATTTTTCCCTTTAAACTGTGGGTTTTCTCTGGAAGTTTTTCCTTGTACGATGTGAGGGTCTAAGGACAGAGGGTGTCGTATTGTCATACTGATATTCTGTACAAACTGTGAAGTCCACTGAGACAAATGTAACATTAGTGATATTGGGCTATATAAATAAACATAGATTGATTGATTGATTGATTGATTGATTGAATGCATATTTTTAAGGCAGCCAAAGCAGGGGCGTGATCTGTGTTTCTACACTGAGAACAAAACCAACATTAATTATTGCTAACGGCAACACAAACATTGTATTCATTTCAGTCGTGCGTTTGAAGCTTTTGTAATTTATGAAACTGACAACAGAACATTTTTCTTTCTTCAGTTTATTGCAAATAGGACTATAAAAGTGAGCAAATAAAGGTACAAATGTGAGTCATTTTGGTGGGAGTGTAGGAGAAAAAAAGCAGCATCAGTTCTGGTTACATTTTGGATGGAATAACTTGTTTTTTTCGTGCCACATTGTGAACAAAACACTCTCCGATACTGTTCCCTTACTGCAGACTTTTCCCACTGTAGAGATGTTTTCACCATCAATGACAGAGACAGATATAGTACAATCAAAACCAACTTCTTAAAACTGTAACACATACTGTAATACAATCATATGTCATTACTTGCATCTTTTGTGTTTTTATATTTATAGTTTTATAGAATACATATTTTTGGGATTTTTTATTTTTAGATAATACAAACAATGCGATCAATGCTTTGAATATAAAAGACACCCCATCACAGGGTGGAAAGGACTCACACAGGAACACAAAAAGAGAGAGGATAGTAATTAAATAATGAAAGTAATAAAAGCAGAAATTAGCTTTACGTTTTAAGTGTAGCATACATCGTAAACTAAACTAAAGGTAAGACAAGATAAAGGATAGGATAAAGGTTTATTAGCATTTTTAGGAATCGGCTGTAATTTATTTGGGAAATTGCATAGTTCTGGATCACACAATAAGTGCTTAGCTATGTCGCATGTTTTACTTTCTGAGTATGAAGTTTTATTCAAATTTGAATGAAGATATAAATGATAGCCAAGAGCTTTGGGCAGTGCACTCTACAGGATCAGGTTTGAGAGTCTTCTTCTTATCGTATTTGGGCTGTATGACAAATGTGCTTAAGTGTTTTTATTCGATCACAACTTTTGTAATATATTATCTATTTGAAGTGTCCTTCTGTTTGACCATCTATCTGAGCTCTACCTGAACAACTGAGTGATTGATGTCTAAGTGTTAAAAGCTTGGTCCTCAAATGGTACTTTTATACAAACATATTTTCTATGAAGCTCTTAAAAAGTATCTTTGTTTGGTTAGCTACAGTGAATCTAAATCTTAAATGATTTGCCCTGCTACTTTACACCTCATAAATCCTTCATAATCTTTATTACTAAATGTTCTGCTTTTTTGATGACTTTATGAAGTTTAATCTTTTTGGTCACATTCACTATGTTAATATCTGCAGGTACTAACAGACTGTCAGCTGTACATATTTGCCAATTCAGAGCTAATGTGAAAAACAAACCTCACAACGCCCTAAGTCTGGCCAGGAGAGCCTCCACATCGGACTCTCCGTTGGAGCTACAGCTGTTCACCGCAGGAACAGTGGAGGACAGCAGAAGGGACGGAGGCTCTTTCTCCACCTCCGTCTCTTTCTCAGTGCTCCTCACCGTCTCTCTGTCACCCGCCCTCTCCCTGCTCAGCCAGTGGCTCGGAGCCGGGTTGTTCCTGTACCTGCGGCCCGCCTCCTTCGTCCGGGCCGAAGACGGGTGACCCTCAGATTCATTGTGGGCCTCCTTGGGAGGGGGAGCTTTCAACACCGCTGAACCTAAATTCATATTCTGCCGAGAGCGAGACCTTTGTAAAGGTACCTTGTTGTTTTCTGTGAATAAAAACACAAAGAGACACAGCTGTGAGCAAAAAGGAGGAGAGCAAGGAGAAGAGTCTGGTTTTAAGTGAATTGAAGCAAGGGATAATCTGATTAGAGATTGAATTACAAACAAAGAAAGAGAAAACTCTTATTTATTTTTTTAAAGCAAGCAAGGTAAAACAAAAGCAAAATGGAAACACAGAAACCATTAGAGAAGTTTAAAGAAGCACTTTAGCGGGCGAATGCACCACAAAACCCAGGTTCACATATACACATGAGCTCAATGTGCACACTGTTAGTCTGGATGAATACACATCGCAAACACACACCACAGAGGCGTACAGCGTGTATACAAACACTGATGAGAAAAGATTTTCTGCAGCAGACTGTGGCATGCAGCAGGCTCAATACGAGGAAATGGATACTGCTGATCAGCCGTAACAGAAACTCAATAACACGGTGCGTCGCCCTTTTCCAATCTCCCAGTCTCTTTCCTTTTCTCTTACATGACACCCTCCCACCCGGCTCCAGCCTCCCCTGATTCCATCATCATCATCATCATCCATTCTCCTTCCTCCGCTCTTCATCTCAGCGCCCTGCTCCTACAGTAGTCCTCTTCATCTTTCTTTTTCCTCTTACCTCTCTCCCTCCCTCCTCCCCCCCCTTCAGTTTCCGACTTAAAACACACCCCCAGACAGACAGAGGAACAGAGTGACAGCCCGGATCAGACCTACGTCCTGAATTATAATCCCTCTGAGTAGATCTTAGACTTCATCATCAGTATGTGTGCGCTGGAAGGAGAGGGTAAATCCATATTCATGTGACCTTGAGCGGGAGGCTGAGAGGAGTGGCGCGAGGAAAGACACCACCGCATTTAAAGTTTCCTGAGCCTGAAATGTCTGGCAAACAGGAGTCAAACACAGCAGAGCAGAACAGAGCGACCCGCTCTGTCAACCAATCGGTAATGAGTTTGGAGCGTGGCCAGTCAGTCATGACAGTGTGTTTTATGGGCCACGCTGACGAATGACAAGGAACGTCCCTGAACACAACCTCTGACAAATAAATAAGGATAAAGGGAGTAAAGTGAGCAGACAGGAATGAACCGACTGCAAAATTAAGCAAAGAAATCCAGCGACCACACGCACACACAGACTCTGGCATGTTCACACAAAGGCTTGTTAGGCAAACAAGAGGCAGTGGTGGACTTTAAAAGGATGAAATGAGTAGAGTGTGTGGCCTTGTTGCTGTGACTGAACATTTACCAAAGCTAAAAATCCAAGTCCCCCCCTCATTATCTCACTCTCTTTTCCCGTTGTCGCAGTCTACATTTTTAAAATAGGACAATTATTCCCCACTGTCACTCCTCTTGCTCCACACTTCCCGATTATGTCCTGTTCTTCTCCCTCCCTCCTAAAACCTGTCATCTCCCCCCACAGGCCTGTTGCTTTGTGCTCTATCAGGCGATGCACCACAAACACACATTTCCTTTACAAATAACACAATGTTGTGAAAAATATCAATTGTGGTGACAGCAATTTGCATTTTAATATGTTGTTTACACTTAAAAAAGAAACCAAAAAAAGAAATAGAAAATACAAGCGAGTATAATCAGTTTTTGTCAAATTTCAGACATCTTTGAATTGATATTTATTTTAGCATTTATTAGCATTAATTATAATTTAACTATTTTCCTGCTCTGCATGAACCTGTAACGATTCAGTGGTTAGGAATAGAAATAATTGTATTCAGACATAAATACAGACAGACTTCAAAAGGAAATTATAAAACCCATATTTCAGAAAAACCTTTATCTTAAAGTGCATTTATTTTCTGGCCTTCAGTGCGTGATCAAAGTCCAGCGAGTTCAGTTTCTTCTGACACCTCCTGTGACGCCTGCTGCTTCTTCCTTTGAAGCCTTGCTAGCTTCTCAAAATATGCCTTTATCTAAGCTGTTAAACACGTCTGGGATACATAACATTCTTTATCTCCCAGGTTGTACTCTTTTAACAAGCAACTGACACTGGTTTTATAGAACCAGTCAAGTGGCTTGTGAAGACAAAACCTTTATTCAACACATGCTGTGATGGTAGGGCTGTGCATTTATCCCTCTCACTCAGACACAGACTTAGATACGTGATGGGCAATCTGATTAGTAAACTAAGAGAAAGTCTATTTAATTTCTACTTCACTTTGAATTTCAACTGTAACCGAATGAAAGTGTAAAGAAAAGTGACTGCCATTAAAGGTCTTAAAGGTATTATGCTATTTTTAGGCATATATTATGGGTCTCAGATATATAAAAATTAGGGCTGTTAAGTTAACGTGTTAATAACGCAATCTTTTTTAACGCCACAAATTCTTTTAACGTGCGATTAACGCATGTGTATTTGTCCTCGGCCCGCCCCGTAGTTTCAGAGCCCAAAGGCTCAGGGGCGGATCTACCGGGGTGGCATGGGGTGGCAACTGCCACCCTAAAAGATAGCCTTGCCACCCCAGCTGCCACCCCAGTTGGCATCTTTGTTTTGAAAGAAAAGTTGTGGCTCATCGGACATTTATGAGAGAAAATCTCTAATGTCCGAGTGCAAGTGAAGTCTTTTAACCCCTCCCCCGGCCCTGGCCCGAGTGTGGAAATATGATTGGCGGCGATTTCATTTGAACGGGACGGCGCAAAACGAGAAGCATTCGGACCCAAGTACTGAAGGAATGAGGTATTTGCGGTCTACAATGACAGAGAAGAGACTGTCAAGTTTGGCTGTACTCAGCATTGAATCAAAACGCACTAAAGCTTTGATCTTAATCAGTTTGTGAGGCGTTTTGCTGAACAAAATGGTAATCGCCGCATTCAGCTGTAATAGACATGTCAACTTGATGCTCTGTCACGGATGAGCATACAAAACTGTTAAGATGATGACCTTACGGGGTCTGTCCCCAAAAAACAGTTTTAAGTCCTGAGAAAGTCAAATAAGACGGTGTGTAAAACTAGACTGCCCAGCCTAAAAAAAGTAACCACTTTGATTTAACTAGGCCTGTAGGTAAGGGCATTCCACTGGATAATAACTGAAGTATAAAAGAAGGCATGACTGAAGTGATGGAGACCATGTTTGAAGGCAAACAAAAAGAGGAAATAACCGGTCAAATCAAGCAAATACCCCTCTCAGATTCCACATCAACCAGAATAACATAAATACTGGCTGGTGATTTGATCAGCTTTGTGATGGAATAAAAAATGCACAGTGCATTTCCTTAGCTGTGGATGAGTCCACTGACACCACTGACAATGCTCAGTTGCTGGTGTTTGTGAGTTTTTATGATGAGGCAAAGGGGTTTGTTGATGATGTGTTGGGCCTGACAAACCTCAGTGGACACAGAAGGGGGGGAAGACATTTATAAAGCAATAATGGGAATGCTGAATGAAAGAGGGTGCAGCTGCCTTTATTCATAACTGTGCAGCTCTTACACTGCGACTCTGAGGGATCAAGCACAGACACAACAAAAATGAAAACTGCTGCATAGAGATTATTTTTGTTTTTGCAACCTCGTGTTAAGAATCTTGTTTGCAATTGTTTAAAAGTTTGAATAACCGTAATAAACGGACCTTTGTCTTATTGAGAATTTTTTTTTTGACCTTTAAGATTTGTATTTGAGTACCCCTGAAATAGAGCGAAATGAGGCATGGCTAAAATGTATGATCTGTTTGGTATTTTGAAAAAAAAACTTCACAGACATGTTTTATATAAAGTAGGTGTGGCCTTACAATATATTATTCAAATATAACATGATAGGTCCACTTTAACTTTAGTCTAAGTTATCTCATGTAAACAAGTATTTCCAAGGCACACCTTTTATATGATCATTATACAAAATAAGAGAATAACGTATGAAATAATTCCAACTCATACTATAGGACAGTAAAACAAAAATACAGTTTAAAGGGGAGTGATTTGTAAAATATGCATAAAAAGAAAGTAAGTCTGTTTACAGTACTGTTTCACAAGGGTGTTGTTGAGAGATGTATCCATAGATTTAGTCCCTAATTTTAAATGCACCAGATTGATGCATTTAACTTCAGCATTTAAAAGCATGCCCCCGGACCCCCCTAGAGGATGTTAGGTCCACCACCTGCCCACACCCCCCGTCCAATTGTCCCTCCCACATTGAGGATGCTTTCTTCGCCCATGCACTAAAGTGAAATTCAAACCAGGAAAAATATAAAAGTAAAACATATGTACATGAGGCCTGTCATTTGAGGAGGACTATAGCAGCAGATCAGATATTAAGCTGTTAATGCAGGAGAGCAATAGAGTGGTGCAGGGATGACGTATTTACCCAGAAGTAAACTGCGCATGAGTTCCCTTGACAAAAAAGCAATGGGATTTCTCCATAGAATTTTGGGAAATAGTTGTGGAAAAAGAAGCTGTTCGATAAATGCACGTTTTGTTCAGCCGGATAATATCCACATATCTACCCTACTTTTATAGTTTTCGAATCATAAATCTAATCGCCAGAAGCAAAATGTTAACGTGATGCAATAAAGGAACTACAGCCGAGTACAGCACGGTCGCACGACTTCGACGTCACGCCAATTTAAGATCCATATTCAAAAATACAGATTCAAAATTGTACAAGTTGAAGCGTTTGTTTCAACAGTTTGCAAGAGCGCAGGTAGTTGCTTTCAAGCGGAACAGGGGAAAACAAACTTAGCGGGAGTGTTTACGTGTTCGGCGTAATGACGTACAACGTCCTCAACAACTTCTGTAGTCCTATTCAGCCACTTGTTAACAACCATTGTTTTTCAGACACGTAAACACTTCAAAAATCCCCAGTGGGGTCACTGCTGAGGTATTTAATGTCATAGAACAAAACATGATCCGTCTCTTAAATTTGTGTCAACCACAGACCTTATTTTCCAAAATCCTATGGAGAAATCCCATTGACTCTGAGACGAGGGAACCGGTAGGGGTAAAACGCTAACTCACTTCCGGGTTTTAGGACTCGTCACTGCCAGTGTTGGG